AGCTCAGGACATTCACTCTCAGGACATGGGTGTCTTGTTATACCCTTTCCTACAGAGGCCTGGCCAAATCCCCAGGGGATAATTGGCAGGTGGACTGAAGAACAGGGATATGCAGGTAGATTCCCAAGGAACTGTGATATCTAAGGCAGAGGAAAAGGATCCCACAGTGAATAGTGGATGTGGCCAGATGGTTGCGGGGGAATTAAAGGATAATTGGCAGGTGGACTGAAGAACAGGGATATGCAGGTAGATTCCCAAGGAACTGTGATATCTAAGGCAGAGGAAAAGGATCCCACAGTGAATAGTGGATGTGGCCAGATGGTTGCGGGGGAATTAAAGGAGTGAAGGGTGACAAGGCAGTCTCTCCACAAGAGAGCAGCGGCACCAAGTGTCAGATGCCACAAAAAGGTCAGTTAAGCAAGACCTGAATCCTTGAGAAATTGGGAGGCTGCTGATGAGCTCCACAAGAGCAGTTCTAGTGAAGTGGTGGAGGTGGCAGCCTGGTTGCAGGGAATAACACAGAGAGTGAATGGCGGGGGTGATGGTTGCACAACAATGGAATTTTCTTAATGCTGCTGAAATGTACACCTAAAATGGTTAAAATAGTAAATTTCATGCTATATACATTTAACCACACACACACACACAAGACTAGAAAGTGGTCAAAAGAGAGACAGAGAGAGACTGATGGGACATAGGGAAAGAAGAGAGCTAGAAAGAAAGAAGATGGAAGCGATGTGGTCATAAATTTCTATTTTGCTTTAGGGAGGGAGCAACTTGAGCAAGTTCATAGGCCAAGGCAGGGGGAGTTGCTAAACACACATGACAGAGGACTTGATGGTCCAAAAGAGGGAAATGGGGAAAATGAACCAAGGACAAAGTAGAGTGACTGATCTTAGAAAGGAACTGTATTTGCGTCATCTTCCAAAATCAAAGGGGAAGCGGGGAGGATGTGGAGCAGGAGAGATGCAGACACTGAGGCGTGGAGGAGAGGGGAGAAGGAAGGCTGGGCTTCTGATCTTAGTGGGCTGTGGCAGCAGTAAGGGGGTTGGTGGGGCAGACAAGGCTGAAACCACCACTGTGGGGCTGGATAAGGTGATCACTCACCAATATGTAAAAGGCCCTGATTTTTTTGTACTCAGTTTATCAAGTAGCAAAGGGCAATGAGGAAATGCTTCTTCTGGTGAGTCTTTTCTGATGAGTCTTTCTATCTTTTCTTGGTCACTTGCTCTCAGCTGTGAATTAATTGTCCTGATTCCAGCTGCCAGAGTCTCCTCCGCAGAAAACCTGGACAAATGTTCCTCCACCCGTTAGGCCAGTGACTCCAGGAGCCTCCAGGCTGACTTAGCTAGAGTCATCAACAAAATTCAGACTGGACTCCCAGGCTAAGCTCTGGGCCACCAGACACAGGTGTGAGGACAATCGCAGGAGCAACCTTGGCAGCACATCCAGCAGAGCTGCTGAGTCCAGGAGGCTTGCAGTCACTGGGCCCCATAACTTGGGCTTCCTGTTTAATCAACAAAGACAATATACACACATCAGGCTGGGCAAGACCAGTGTCAGGATTCTCCTTTTGATTTCTGCTTTTCCTCTTTTATCATCACATGGTTGTCATGATTGCTATTATTACTGTTATCATCACCATTATCACTGTAGTTGAATTCAACCCCATGGGATGTGGAGTCCAACACAGAACATAGATGCAGCATAAAAGCATTTTTATCTAGCCTGCCTCGTATATTAAGTTTCAGTTTTATAGGATTAAAACCAGCTGAGGTCTGAGGGCTTCCTCGGGCCCACTTGACTACCTTCAGGCACCCTGTGTGGTTTGCCACCCACAGTGGAGAAGATGCTTCTGGGATGCAGATGGCAGAGGATTGGAAAGACTGACAGGCAGGTGGTTGGAGAAGCCTCTCATAGCTTCTCAGGACTGCAGCCATGGGATCCTAAACTCTGCTGCTCAGCGTCAACGTTGCTCAAATCCCAGACCTCAGGCAAGACTCTGAGGGACAAGAAAACCCAAGAGGCAAGAGAAAAGGGAAGGATAAGGGCCCTGCACCAATGGAGGAAATAGGGGCTAGTGTTGGGAAGTGGGCCGGGCCTGGCTTAAGGTGAACCTCACCATCATTTGCAGGCTACAGGCATTTGTGCTAGCCTAAGAGAGGTGCAAAGGGGGAAGAAATCAAAAAGCAAAACCCATCATCATGGTCTGGGTTTGAGCAGCAGAAATAAGCCCCTAGAAAAATGAACACTATATGCCCCCACCCTACTCCCCGCATTTCTCTTTGGAATTATGGCGGTATCCCTGGGGCTTCTGGCAGAACTGATGCACTTCGTGGCTGGAGTTCTGAAGCTGGAAGTCCAAGACAACAAAGACACTCTACTCCAAACCCACCTCACCCTAACAAGGCCTGCTGTGCTGAAAGTCTCTTTTTGTGGAATAATTCCCTGTTGGAAACATTCATTTCTTTGAGAAAACACATTTATCAAATTCTCACATGCACCTGCTTAAAACACAAGGCCTCTGAAGGATTTTATTCTGAGTAAAATTTTACTCTATTAGAAATGGTGTTCACACTATAAATGAGTTTCAGTTCTCTGATAGGCAGTGTCTTCATCCCATTGGGCTGCTATAATAAAATACTGTAAACTGGGCAGCTTATAAGCAACAAAAATTTATTTCTTACAGTTCTGGAAGCTGAAGTCCAAGATCAAGGTGCTGACAGATTCAGCGTCTGGTGAGGTTCCATTTTCTGGTTCACAGATGGTGCCTTCTTGCTGTGTTCTCAGAAAATGGCAGGGGTTACCTAAGCTCTCTGAGGTCTCTTTCCTAAAGGTACTGATCCCATTCATGAGAGCTTTGTGCATATGACCTAATCACCTCCCAAAGTCCCCATCTCCTAAAGCAATTACCTTGGAAGCTAGGTTTCAACATAGGAGTACTGAGGAGACACAAACATTCAGATGACAGCAGGAAGAGAACTGGGGGTATGTGGTGGTAGAGTGGTGGATTGGGAACTCAGACAGGATAAAGGCCTTGACACTGCTCATAGGCAGCATTCCTTGGACTTCATAACAATCTCCAGAAGGCGTTTAAAGACCACTTTCAACTCTAAATTTCCAGAGGCTGTGATAAGTGTCTCTTAGAATCTGGATTCCAACCCAGAGAGCCCTGGTTAGAAAGTATATGTTCTTCCAGCTTTACTTCATTCTGCAATTCTCTTTTACGTGCTCCTCCAGGATGGCTCCTAGGACAGCCGCAATCCCTGGTTATCTTAGGAGTTGGGTATTCCCATTGTCTGTACTTAAGAGGATGGATTGAAATCACCAAGTCTGCAGAAATGAAAAGAGAGGAAATCAAGTCTGTTGTTGCACAGATCCTTGCCCTTCTAACCCAGTTTGTGCTCATCTTTCCTAGAGGAAGGATCCAGGCAAAACCCAAGGGCCAGGACACCATGTTTTCAGAGAAGCTCTTGATCTCCTGGGAGCTCTTACTTATGCTGTGAGAGAAGTGGACAAGGCTGGGGAAGCTGGAGAAGAGACCCTAGTCCCATCCTGGAAGTAGATGAATGTCATTCTGATATCCCAAAAAGGAATAGAAATTGATTTCTTAAGGGAAAAACTGACTTAGGAATGAGAAGAATAGACTTCTATATGAACGGTATAGAAATGTAAGATCAGAAGGAAGAAGTGGCAAAAGAATAAAAAATACAAGCAAGATATTTAAAATGAATAGAAATTTCATGAAGATGCTAAGAACAATGAGCTATGTCTTTGGAGAATATCTAGCCTCTAATTTGCATTTCCTTCAAGAATAAAGAAATAATTATGGCCGGGTGTTGCAATCCCAGCATTTTGGGAGGCTGAGGTGGGAGGATCGCTTGAGCCAAGTTCAAGACAAACCCTGACAACATAGTGAAATTCTGTCTCCACTTAAAAAGGTGAGGGGGGAAGAAACACTCTGAGGGTTTCTCTGAGATCTAAGCCTATTTAACAGGTCATGAGTGAAGAGAGGCAACAGGATTCCCCAAGCACGTGCACTTGAGGAAGTTTTGTGACATTGAGCGGTAAGGATGGAGTCAAATCTAACTGGATTCCACCATATTAGACCATTCCATTCATTTGGTTAATAAGTGTATGTGGGTTCATGTCATATTTCTGCAACTTACAGCCTTGTGACTTTGGTCAAGTTTATCTAAACTATCTGGATCTTAGTTTCTTCTTCAATAAAATAGATTTACTATTACCTCATATATTTGTTGAGAAATCTGCATTAAATAAGACGATGTGATAAACACATACTATTAATAATATACCTAACATATCATAGATCCTCAAAAATGTGATCATCCTACTTACTCATTTTGATGTTTTGCATTTAATTATGTTTCCTGAAGCAAAATGTCAAAGACACTCAAAAGTTAGAGTGAACTTGAAAACTAGGCAAAGGCCAGTTAACATTTATAAAGGTCCAGCTTAGCTTCCATACAGTGGTTTGACAAACCCTAAAATGGCCTGAAAATAGATCCCAATTCCCCCAGCCCCCATCACCATTACATAACATTTAGTTTATTGCTTTAGTGTTCAGCCCCCTTGAGGTGGGACTCTGAGCCTGTGAAATGGCATGCTGAAGCCAGAGTGTGAGTGAATCTGGGTTTGTCTCTCCATTGAACACAGTGAACAGCTGGAACATGGCCATTCCCCTCTGTGCTCCAGCATCACTATCACTTAAGCTCCATAGTTAGAATTACCTCAGTGGTGTAGTGCGCAGTATGGGTTTTGGTTGAGCATGAAAATAATATGTGATAAGTTCTTCATTCAATAGGCCTACAGTGACGAGGACAAAGGGTTCTACAGAGCAAACATTAAACTCAGTTCTTTACTGTTCTTCGTATTTTTTGTAAAGCAAATCACTTCCCAGTGGGATTTTTCCATTGTGATGAACATGGAAATTAAATGGGAAATGCACATTTTTGTGCTGCATTCAATTTTTTTTTCAGTTCAGCTTGATGGTTTCCTCTTTATTGATGTGCCTCCTACCTTTCCCCCCACAACTTCAGTCCCTTCCAACTACCCCCAAAAAAGAAGGTAGTGAAAGGAAGGGACTGCTGGGGTTCTGAGCCCCTTGGGCAGTCAGAAAGGGAACAGAAACCAAAACAATCACTGGATGTGACAGAGACTGACAATCAAGAAGTCTAAAGCAGGATGGGAAAGGCAGGCAGAGAAAGGGGAAGAAAGGAGAAAGGAGAAGTACAAGATGCCAACTCCACCATTACCCCTCCGAAGAGAGGCTGGAGAGAAAACTTCAAACATTAAGAGGTGCCCATCCTGAATAAGGGAGGTGGTGTTTGAGCTTGAAGGAGGAGGAGGTCAAGAAAAGGGGGCCACCTCTCTCCTTGTAGAATGAGACCCCCCTCCAGCTCAGGGACAGCAGCTTCACAGACCGTAGACACTTTCGTCACTGTAGGCAATGTAGAGAAAGAAGTCTTCTTCATGGTGTTCCTGGTAGAGCTGACCCACTGTGGCACTGGTGGGTGGAATGACATTGTTGACAATGAAAAACAAGGCATCCTCAGCTCGGAGATGAATTCGCTTCCGGATCAAGAAGTAGAACTGACCAACTGTGAGATCAGAAGGCACCAGGTATTTCTTTTTGTCCAGGTGTCCTATCCGAGCTTTGGGAGCCTTTTCTACTATCACCGGCACCCGGTCCGGGTATTTCTTTCGGATTTTCTCCCCCTCAGAGCGGCGCTTCTCGAACGGATGCTCTTCTTTGTACACGAACTTCATCCTCCCGGGAACCGGGCTGGACCGGGCTGGGCTGAAGGAACCTGGGGGGGCCTGCATTCAATTTTTTAAAAGAAATATATGTAGAATAAGGTCAATATACATGTAATGTGTACTATGTGTATATAAAATACCACATGTTACATAATGTAATTTATATAAAAATGTTATATATTATACATAAAATATTATGTGTGTATAAAATATTACAAAGATCACATAGTAATTGTGGTAGCAGTGCTCACCATAGGATCCATTTGCTCTTATTCTTGCTAACTTCTGCCCAGTGGACTCTAGTCAAAAATGATATTGGTGCTTTCAGACCCAACCATAGAAGGGCAGCTCTAATTTCTCTATGCCCCTTTCTTCTGCCTCAATGAATGTGGAGTGTTCTAAGTGGATGTAGCTACACACGATAGTGGAACATCCATCAACTGGATCTCTGGAGCAAAAGCCCTTCTCCCACCCCATCCCTTTGCTGACCCACAAGGGACAGGTAGTGATGGCAGTGGTGGCCCGTCTGGAGCAGCCACTGCCAAGATGATAGCTGCAGCCAGGGAGGTGGAGCTGGGGCTGCATGCTTTGCAAACCGGTGGGGCGGGAACTGGCGGGAGCCCTGCCCCCTACCAAGTTGGCAGGGCAGGAGCCCTGTGCTCCTGGGCACAGCTGCAGCCGCCCAGCCAGGGCTCTGGGAATCCCTGAGCTGTGGGGGCCCAGGAAGCGCCCTCTGGCCCTGCACACTCAGAAGTGCCTGCTCCCACTCCAAACTTCTCCCTGCTCCCAGTGCCCGCTCCACTGTGGAGGACAGTTGTGGCCAAGCCCAGATGCTGTCCTGACCTGGCCAGGTGTGCACATGCTCCCGGCTGCACTGACATGCCAGACCCCTGTCACCTCAGCCCCCTCCAGACTTTGGAAGCTGACAAGCACAGGAGAAAGGTGGGAGTTGGGGGAGCCGAGGGCAGCTCCGCATGGGCCTGCAGGTGCCCCTCGGCAGGAACAGCCTGGGCACCATGGAGGGCATATTGATGACAGGAGGCAGACAGGTTCCTGGATGGAAAGGGGTGGGTCCCCACTGAAACCCCACCTTCAAGCCAGGAACTGCCTGAAGCCTGGGGGTTGGGCTGCCAGTTCCAGGTGAAGTCCGGGCGTGAAGAAAGGACTACATTACTGACGGTTCAGCCAATAAGATGGTCCTTTTTCCAGGCCCAACCATGGCCACCCATGGACCAATCAGCACATATTTCCTCCCTTCCGAGCCTATTAAAATCCAGAACTCAGCCAAACTCACAGAGGTCACAACTACCAGCTGCTGAAAGGAGCAATCGTCTTTGGGTCTCCTGAGAGCTGGTCTGTCGCTCAGTGAAGCTCTCCACCTTGCTCACCTTCCAGTTGTCTGCCTACTTTATTCTTCCTAGATGTGGGACAAGAACTTGGGACCTGCCGAATGGTGGGACTGAAAGAGCTGTAGCACAAACAGAGCTGAAACACACCCCCTGCTCACCACATTGTGGGTGTTTTGACAAGGAGAGAACAGACGTGGCCCTTTGGGAACCCCAGACTTAGGGGCTCCCAAAGCCAGGGCTGTGACACCCTCTTTGGGGTGCTGTGATTCCTGGTGTCTCCAATCTTCTGGGGGCCACCATGTTCCCCAGTGCCCACAATGGAAGCTGCTTGTGGTACGCCTGGTTCAGCCACAGTCTTGCATGCAGCTGGCGCTTGTACCAGTGTCTGGAGCTGCCCAGCCTGACACAACTGGCATGCTTGGCTGTGCACAGTGGCCAGACCCCATGCTCGCTTGCTCACACACCTCTTGCCACTCTGTGCCTGGCTTGCCCATGGCAGGCATGGGATCCAGTCTGGTAGTGCTAGCCGAGCTCAGCCTGCCAGGCCAAGTGGGCAGAATGAGCCCAGTGGGCCTGAGCAAAACTCAGGCAAAGGCTGCACCAGTTACAGAGATTTTTGGCTGGAAAAGTGACAGCCTAAGGATCATGTGACAGTAGCATAAGGGCTACACCTTTGCTGTGCTAAGCCACTGGATATCATAATTAATTTGTTATCACCGCAAAACTTATCTAATCCTGACTGATGTAGTAACTATTCCTTGAAACTGTCTAAACCAAACCTTGACTAGAGCTTTAAGATCAGAGTCAAGAGTAGCAGGTTTTAGGAGCAGTAATTTCATATTCTATTATTATTTTCTCAAATGGATTTTTAAAAATCAGCTAATAACTTTCAATTACTCTCTTAAATCTAAAAAAAAAAAAAAAAGTACTTTTCATATAATTCCAAACTCTTGAATCTGTATGAGGGTGATATGCTTTTCTTTCCTTTTTTTTTTTTTTTTTTTTCTACCATTTCTTGTTTAGTTTTCATTTCCTTCTGGAATTTTTTTAATTTTTAATTTTTGTGGGTATATAGCATATATATATATATTTATGGGGATACATGAGATGTTTTGATAAAGTCATGCAATGTATAATAATCACATCATGGAAGATGGGGTACCAACCCCTCAAGCATTTATCCTCTGGGCCACAAACAATCCCGTTATACTCCCCCAGTTATTTAAAAATGTACAATAAAATTATCATCAACCAATGCCATCCTGTTGTGCTATCAAATACCATGCCTTATTCACTCATTTCAACTATTTTTTTTGTACCCATTAACCATCCCCACCTCCTCCTCACCCTGCCATTACCCTTCCCAGCCTGTCGTAACCATCCTTCTACTCTCTTGAGATGCGTTTAAGTCTTCAAAGTTCCACTTATTTTTAGACTATCCTTCAAGCAATGGGACTTTCTGTAATAACTAATAAGGACATCCCAAATATAGTGTTCCAGAATTAGAAGGCAGAAGATTTGGAGTTGTGTTTCATTTGTGTTACAGAAGGAATTCACCAGATATTTTTGTAAAGTTAAGGTAATTTTGTAAAGTTAAGGTAATTGAGCTAATGTTTATAATATAAAATACCGATAACAATTTAAAAAACAGAGCATCTCTCTGCCAGCTTCATGATTTATGTGAGACAACATGGTGAAGGAAGAATGTTTCACAATTCGTCCAACCCAGCTGGTTCCAAGGAGGAGACAAACACATGTCTGTGGTTAGAGTTCAAGATTATGCAGTGAGAATAATGTACTGCTTGCTGACTTTCTCAACTCCACAGAGGTTTTATGAAGATTAAACAGTTAAGCACTTTGAAGACAACAAATGCTTAAGTACTAAGCATTATTAGTATCTGAAACTATTACTACATCAATTCCTTGTGTAATCAAGTATTATTATTGGAAACTCTGCAAGAAAATCTAATCTTTGGAGATTTTTGACTCTATTTGCAGAACAAAGAGGCATGGGTATAATTTATCCTCAGTACTTTAGACATGAATCAAGGATACCGAGACATTGAGTGAATATTTCTTGTTTGCCCATATTTCAACTAATAAGAACTTTGTATTTATTGGCATGGCTCAAAAAGCAGTATGGTACTTTGGGGAGGAAATAAAACCCAAAATGATTTAAATTCTAGAATAAGGAGAAAGTAAACTGGAACCTACTCAAACATTTTGCCTAAGATTAAAACCCCTCCTGGATATTCGAATACATTGCTCTTTAAGTAATTAAAACTATAACCTATGGTCTTTAGTAAATTCTGACAATTTATCTGTACTCAGTTTCAAGTATTTTCTGGTTGGCTTCTTTCCAAAGAGTACACCTGCATGTTAGTTGAACAATGTCTTACTGAAAGATGAAATTAACAAATTTTGTTTGATTTGGACCTTGGTTAAATCTCTGAAGTTAGATAATTATATGTAGAGCCACATAAAGAATACTAGCTTAAATTATTCCACCAGGGACTATAGTAAGATTTTCATTTAGCTAATAGAACGTTAGAATATGCTAAGCTAATGAAAATGATTCATCTCTATTTTTCTATCAAACATAAGAGTTGGAAGAGGATAAAGATTATTATTTAGGTATAGAACTTCTGGTATTTTAACTTTCTTCCCTTCCATGCTACATTCTCTTTAAATTTATTCACTTTGTTTCTGAACTTTGAAAAGTTCTTGACCTATTTTAATTCATGAAAACCCAATAAAACATTGTTTTGATTTTAAATAATTGCTCTTTAATGCCTTTGATCCCATTTTCCATGTAAAATAAAAGCCTAATGATTCTCATTAAATGGAGGGAATAAAGTTTACTCCAGCAACTACTTTCATTTTATGAGGTCAATTTAAAGTTTTCACTTTTGTCCATTAATTATATGGGAATGTTGCAAATGTTGGAAGATGGGATTTATTTCCAATTTTGATCTCAATTGCAGTTACAGCTTTGTACAGAATTAGCACATAACTAAGGGGTGCACCATCCACCCCTCCGTCATCCTCCAGAGTACAGGTGTGTTCAGTAAGAATCTGGTGTCCTTCACAGCCATGCTCCAATATCTGAGCAATTATGCTTTCCAGTGAGGATTGCACCAGAATGACCCCCATCTTGCTGCCAGAGCGTGCAAACTCTCCTGACAGTCCAACATGTGGACTTTACCCAGCCTTGACAGGAAAGAATGCTGCTGGTTTTTCCTGCCATGCTCTCTGAAGCCCAAAACCATGATGCAGTCGAGATTGGGAAAGAAACCTCAGTAAGAAAAGAGCCTTTTGGTTGCACCTAGTGTGCCTCCTAGGTTGCATCTCAAAAGTTTTGCAAACTGCCTTGGAAAAAGTAATGAATGTTCGAGATTTTGTTTTAAGATTATTCAATTCTACAATAAAATATTAGAGAAACAAATAAATAAGGACACATGAAACTAAGCATAGAGGTAGGTATCATGGGGGATATATTAGACAAGAAAGAAGTAGAGCATACGTGTGCAAAACATGGACTGGAATAGACGGAAGAACCAAGGAGGAACTCACTATTCATGGGGCATGTGATGCATCGAATTTTCATGAGGCTCTAAACATTGATGAGATATTTGAATATCCACCTGGTGATGGTACCCATTTAACCTCCACTTTCTCTCAACCCGCCACTTAATTTGGAGTGCTTTGT